CGGCTCTCCTTTGTTACCTTTGTTCGTTGTCCTGGATTATTATCCCCCCCTATTTGTTCTCTTTTCCCCTTCATTTTCTCTTCTCTTCACTTTTCTTCTTTTTTTGTTTTGATTTTTTTTTTTTTTTTTTACAACCCTTAGGCAGTGAAGTCGTGGATCTGAGTACGACATCGTTCAAATCGTTTCTTGTAAAATAGATTTTGGGACGAAACGGCAGCAAACAGTGAAAACTACAATATAAATTTCCCTATTTCCTTCCATTCAATCCCGTATACCCCCGTTCCTGTCACGAAACCTCAGTAGTATCCATCGGACAACTTTTATCATTTTTCTAAAAGGGATGCCGCTGACGAAATTCATAAACACCAGTATCATCCCTCCAGATTTACTTGGCTTGAACTAATTCAAACCAGCCAGCACCCGACTGGCCAGCGGATCGAGCAAACGAAAAAAAGCTCCGCTCTCGGGCTTCTTCATCATTTTTCTACAGGAACGAAAGTAGTCCTTCAACCAGACCAAGAAGAATGGTCCGAGGCCTTCATTTTTTACCACTCCCTCTCCCTCTGTCTCTCTCTCTCTCTCTTTCCCTTCTCCTTTCCCATGGTGAAGAGTTCAATTTCCTTGTACAATTGATATTTCTTTTATGAAGGCCGGCTCTTTGTGTCTTCCCACGGCTCCCGCCAGGCAGTGCAGCATTTATCCCCCTTGAAATAAGCATAATGGAAGGGAAGGGAGCCTGTCAAATGTACGGAGTATATACACGATCTATTCCCAAGTCCAAATTCCCAAGTCCAAGAATCGGGAATGCCGGCTTGCCAGGTTCATCGCGAGCCGCGGGTTGCTTCTTTCAAGAATGCTACACTTCACATGGAGTAATTATTATTACTTAACTTCCCCGTACCTATATATAGCTTTCCATCAACTTCTGGAACAGATATATGCAATATGGGGAAACCATCGGTGCAGCAGAACCTCGGAACATGTCCCCTGTAGTTTGCTAGCTGCCTGGAGGTTGAGCTGTGGTGCTGACAGGAAAGATTGAAAAAAATTACTCCGTAAAGAAAGGGAAGAAAGGAAAAGAGATGTATGTACAGCACAAGAAGAAAGGCATTTAGAGGTGGTAATTGGAACTGTATTTTTTCACTCCGGGGTCCCCAAGTTCTTTATTTAAAATATAAAATATATGTCATGTCGGCTTTTCGAACTATCATACTCACCGGCAATAAGAATCAATCCGGCCCTTTCGTCTACCAAATCAAATATTTTCGCCCATATAATCATTGAAACACACCAAGGACCTTGGGATTCAGTCCCGTGGGAACACACATATATAAAGCTAAATCCTAAATAAAGAGGAGATAAGAAAGAATGTCCGACCTAGCCCTAGCCGCACCCGCCTCTACTACCGCCCCAACCTCCAATAGCAACAACAATCCGCAACCGAGACAGCATGAGAATGAAGATGACGCGGAAGAAAAACCAAACCTAAACCAGCAATCCGCCATCCCTCTAGCAGAAGCGCATAAAGCACACGTCCACCTACCTCGCGTGACGATACAGTACTGCACGCAGTGCAAATGGCTGCTCAGGGCGGCCTATGTATGTCTCTCTCTCTCTCTATCGTATCGGCGCCTCCCCCTGGATCTAACCGTTGCCACTTCCAAATATTACCATGACGTTTTTCTCTGATCCATGCTGCAGTTCGCTCAGGAATTGCTCTCCACGTTTTCTACGGCGCTGGGCGAAGTATCCCTCGTTCCCGCCACCGGTGGCGTCTTCGTGGTGTCCGTCCTGTCTCAGTCCAGTGTCGATTTCACGGATGCGGAAACCGTGATATGGGACCGGAAGATGGAAGGCGGGTTTCCAGGTATGTTTCATTATTATATATTTTTTAAAATATATTTTTTTATCATTTTTGTTTTATGTTAAATTTCTCGGAGGGTGGTTTAATTAGTGGTAGTGGTAGTGGTGGTATCGGTCAAGGGAGGGAGAGAGAAATTTGGGCAAGTTTCAGAAGGGGAATGAATCAGTTTTCACTTTCCTAATATCTACAACGCGCACAGAAACGAAGCAGCTAAAATCGCTTGTCCGCAACATTGTTGATCCCTCGCGGGATCTAGGACATGTTGATCGTGCCCTTGCACAGAAGAAAGGGGCGGGGAAAGCGGCGGAGGGTGCCGTTGATACGGAGATGGCGATGGCGGCCGTGGTACAGACGCAAGCACAAGCAGGATCAGCTACGGCTACCACAGCTACTTCAGCTACTAATATCTGCAAGGATTGTGAGTGAGAGAAGGTTTAAGTTATATCCCATGGACAATAATTTTTTTTTTTTTTTTT